CTCGTCCCTGCCTCCCTAACCTGTTCTTCCTCCCACCTATCCCCTCCTCCCACCTCAAGCCGCACCTCCATCTCCTACCGACCAACCTCATCCCGCCCCCTTGACCTGTCCGTCCTCCCTGGACTGACCTATCCCCTTCCTAACTCCCCACCTACACTCACCTTTACTGGCTCCATCCCCGCCTCTTCGACCTGTTTGTTTCCTCTCCACCTATCCTCTCCTCTATCCCTCTTCTATCCGCCTCCCACTCTCTCCCTATTTATTTCAAAACCCCCTTCCCCTCCCCCTTTTCTGATGAAGGGTCTAGGCCCGAAACGTCAGCCTCTCTGCTCCTATGATGCTGCTTGGCCTGCTGTGTTCATCCAGCCCTGCACCTTGTTGTCTCTGAGTGTCCCTAAAGTTGGCTATTTAGTGGCTGTTCACTGGTAAAAGTGAAATTTGCTCCTGTAGAGAGTGAGTCTGGGGACTCAGTAATGGAAACTAAGAAGGCAGGTAAATTGAACAGGCAACTTGAATTAGTCTTCACTTTGGAGAATACAAGAAACATCACAGTAATTGGTGTAATTTAGGAAATGGAAGGAGGGACAGAAAGTTAAAGGATTTGCAAACACCTTCAGTCAGACGTGCCAAATGGACAAGTCTCAGCCTCCTTCTGATATCTGCAGAATCACAGCTGCCAGTGCTCAGTCAATTCAATTCTCTCCACAAGACATCAAGAAACATCTGAAGACATTGGATACTTCAAAAGCAATTAGTCCTGACAACACTCCAGCATTGGTACTGCCCTGGAAATAGTTGTGATCCTAGTTGTTCCAGTACATCTATAACACTGGCATTGACCCAGCAATGTGAAAAATTGCCCAGGTATGTTCTATACACAAAGCAGGACAAATCCAATTACTGCCCTGTCAATCTACTGTCAGTGATCCATAAAGTGATGGAAAGTGCCTTGGATAATGCAATCAAATGGCACTTACTTAGCAATAGCCTGCACAGTGACACTCATGTGGGGTCGATTAGACCCATTCACCTCCTGACCTCATTACAACATTGGTCCAAACATGGGCAAAATAGCTGAACTCAAGGGAGAATGTGAGATGACTGCTTTTAACATCAAGGAACTTAATCAAAACTGGAGTTAGTTGGAATTGGATAAATCTAGTAATTGGGGTAATACCTAGCACAAAGGAAGATGATCATGATTGTTAGACTCAATGATGTCAGTACCAGGACATCTCTGAAGCTGTTCCTTAGGGCAATACACCAGGTCCTAGGTTCAACCAGCATCAACTGTTTAACCAACAACCTTCCTTCCCTCCAACATAAGGTCAGAGGTTGGGTGTTCACTGATGATTGCAAAATGATCAAAAATCATTCACAATTTCTCACATAAACAGTACATGAACGCATGCAGCATGATGCAGACTTTGGCTGCGAAGTGGCAAGTAACATTCCAACCACATAAATGCCAAGCAGTGGCTATCTCTGACAGATGGCAGCTCACCACTACCTTCTCCATGGCAATTTTGTACAGGCAATGCCCGCACCACATGTGCAAACAGAAAAAAAGTTGTTTAAATGTCCCTCGCCTTATGTTGGAAAGAAAAGTTTTCACAGTTTCAACAACTGATTGCTGACATAACCCTAATTGCTTTCATTTTAGCATTATTAGTCATAACCTATTATTGTTACAATTGTGTCGGATGGGATGTATTGTAAGATCACTACTTGATTGATTGCTCAGCGGTTATTTAAGGATTAGTTATCTTGAAGTGACATTAAGGATACATGTCTGACCATTTGATAATAAATCAAGTATTTGAGGGCATTTAAACGTTTTGAATACGTATTCATGAGTCAGGCTTATTTTTCATGTTGGAAATGGTGTGATAGATATGTAGAACTTCACCTCAGCGTGGTCTGGGAGCATTGGCAAGAATGGGTGTAAGGAGGCAGGGAAATTGTGATGGGTGGATCATAAATTAGCATGAGTGGTATACATGGACTTCAGTAAGGCATTTGATAAGATTCCCCATGGTAGGCTGATGGAGAAAATGAAGTCGCATGGGGTCCAGGGTGCACTAGCTAGATGGATAGAGAACTGGCTGGGCAACAGGAGACAGAGAGTTGTAGTGGAAGGGAGTTTCTTAAAATGGAGAACTGTGACCAGTGGTGTTCCACAGGGATGCATGTTGGGACCACTGTTGTTTGTGATATAGATAATGATCTGGAGGAAGGTACAGATGGTCTGATTAGCAAATTTGCAGATGACACTAAGATTGGTGGAGTAGCAGATAGTGAAGGGGACTGTCAGAGAATGCAGCAGAATATAGATAGATTGGAGAGTTGGGCGGAGAAATGGCAGATGGAGTTCAATCCAGGCAAACGTGAGGTGATGCATTTTGGAAGATCCAATTCAAGATCAAACTATGTGGTAAATGGAAAAGCCCTGGGGAAAATTGATGCACAGAGAGATCTGGGTGTTCAGGTCCATTGTATCCTGAAGGTGGCAACGCAGGTCGATAGAGTGGTCAAGAAGGCATACGGCATGCTTTCATTCATCGGACGGGGTGTTGAATACAAGAGTTAGCAGGTCATGTTACAGTTTTATAGGACTTTGGTTCGACCACATTTGGAATACTGCGTACAGTTCTGGTCGCCACATTACCAAAAGGATGTGGATGCTTTGGAGAGGGTGCAGAGGAGGTTCACCAGGATGTTGCCTGGTATGGAGGGCGCTAGCTATGAGGAGAGGTTGAGTAGCTTAGGATTATTTACATTAGAAAGACGGAGGTTGAGGGGGGACCTGATTGAGGTCTACAAAATCATGAGAGGTATAGACAGGGTGGATAGCAAGAAGCTTTTTTCCCAGAGTGGGAGACTCAATTACTAGGGGTCACAATTTCAAGGTGAGAGGGGAAAAGTTTAAGGGAGATATGTGTGGAAAGTTCTTTACGCAGAGGGTGCTGGGTGCCTGGAGCGCATTGCCAGCGGAGGTGGTAGAGGCGGGCACGATAGCGTCATTTAAGATGTATCTAGACAGATACATGAATGGGCAGGGAGCAGAGGGATACAGATCCTTGGAAAATAGGCGACAGGTTTAGATAGAGGATCTGGATCGGTGCAGGCTTGGAGGGCCAAAGGGCCTGTTCCTGTGCTGTAATTTTGTTTGTTTGTTTGTTCTTTGAGCGTGGAAATGGTGTGGCATAAGCAATGATGAGAAAAGTGGGAAAATAGAATGAAAAAACATCAAACTTGATGTTGAGAAATATTTTTGCAGTTTTCCCCTCAAATCACACTTCAGAATCTTGCCGTTGAGTGATGACTACCTGATTTGTATCTATTTACGTCTCACTGAAACTGCAACTCATCTCATTTCCACCACCACAAATTCTCTTCTCACTCCCCAAAAACTAAAGGTACAAAATCCTGACAGCTGCCACACATTGAGTGCTTATCCTA